TTTTTTTTTCGTAAAGATTTGTACCGGATTTATCGTAACCTTTTAACCTTTATCTTTATGTATTAAAGATTTTCTTCGTTAAACAGCCACCTCTTTTAGTGTAAGGGAACTGTAGTCAGGGATAACAGATTGAAATACACAAATACATATCTAAAACAACTGCATGAAGTTTTTCAACTTTTTTAAACACGTGAACGGGTTGGCTTCAAGACTTACCATTTCCAGCGCGCTTTCTGTTGAAACTTCTGAAAGAATGTGAACCGGCTAATGCCACACCCTAAAAACCACCCTTCTGAATCGACTGCACATAAAACATTATCACTGCACATGCTAGCAGCTTTTTTCGTGTTTTTTTTTTCAGAAATCCCAAGCAACTACAAAAATGACGGACTGAGATTTATAACTTCTGTAGAAAACCAGTATTACATCATGTAATAGGTTCTATGGGCTAGTTTAAGCGATTGTAATTCGCTTGACATTCAGTACCTTCCAATCACAGGGGTCTCTGATTGTTACAAAATTGAATAAAATAGTTTGATTCAATTTAGTAACAAACTACACGGACTTCTGTTATCAGAAGGTACACATTCACTACCCTCTACCAGGGCCGCAGTCATTATTGTGGACATTTTTTGCTGAATCGAAGCCAAAATGACTGTCTATTTATCTATAGACATATCTGTGAATATCTGTGGAAAATCAATCTGTCACCTTGGTAGAGTGTACACATTCAGTACCTTGTCTAGGCCATATTTAATCTCAGCACTGGTGCGGGGCAAGAAGAGAAGAGCTCGCTCTACCAATAGTACCATGAACGTTTACATAGCAGGACCTCCGTGAGAACAAAGCAGTTTCGTCGAATAATTCTTCACGACACTATTTTACCGAGAGAAAAAGATAAGACGTTTCTGTCGATCGATATATCCTCTACACAGTTTAGTGACACATGTAAAGATCAATTAAGAAAAAGATTTATGAAGAAATAGATGACAACGGACAAATATTTAAATGATTACATAAAGAAAAGAATAAACATACAACTATAAACAAGATTTGATGTCTGGCCCGTAGCCAGCAATTGCAAAAGTGGGTGCTTTTTTTATGAAAATGTGGGTCTCCTGTCATGAAACCTTTGTTTATCTAGATCAAATATACTCAGTTTGGACCTTTTCCCAGCAAAAAGGACAGTTATTTCGAACCCCCCCCCCTCCCCCTGGCTACGGGCCTAGATCTCAAACCTACCTTGTCGATCTATCTGTCCTGGGTAATGCAGTCAAATATTTAAACAAATAAGAATTAAAATGACGACAATCAAGGAATCCACCACAATTGAATATTTGAAATCTGGGATGAGGGGTTGGCGGCATTACCTCACGTATATAGATTTAGAAATGGGAGAATGTGACATTAGAGATGTGACATTAGCCGCCACTTGACTAACACTATACAAGTATGCAAAGACCAATCTATGCATTGGTCCACCCAGCCTTTTGATGTATGGGACCCTGATCTTCAGGCACGGAAAACTTTTTGGTCCTTCTTGACCGCAAATGGGCTCTCTACAGTAGGCCTATATTTATTATTCCACTTATTTACTTTACTGAGATCAGGATAAAATTTGTTGAGATGCATTCTGACCTTGGCCCCTGTTTTACAGCATTTCTTTAACGCTGATTCGTCTAGATTATAGTCATGTTTATTTTTGTCTTAATTATTTTCTTTTTGTTATCAACATTTAGGCCTATGGGTTCCTCACGAGTTAAAAATGTAAGTAACCCACCAATCACAGGAAATGTGTTTGTGGCGATACGAAAGCACAATTTCAGGTATCACTAAAATGCATACCAATAGACCCCGGAAAGGATGCTAGTTTTAGTCTTTCTGCACATCTGCACATGGGATCTATTGCCCGATAAAACAATTTTTAAGCAATTCTAAGTCGACAGAAGTTTTCAGTCGATTTTTTTTATAATTTCGATGAATTTTACTTGCAATTTAGGAGTAGCATTTTTAAATATGGGTTTTGAAAAGGCCCTATAAATTCATTCCACTCTAAAACGGTAGAAATAGGGCCATGCAGTTAGGGACAAAACCCTACAACCCTTATAAAAATAATTTCCAACAAAACTAATAATTATAAACTTAAATAATATGGCATATATTCTAATTAAAGTTGATCTGGTTAATTAAATTAGCCCCTTTACGACAAAATTGTTTTCACGATTTTACAAAAAAAAAAA